GCTGGGAGACCTGAATATGGGTCACATCTTTGTAGATGTTCCCCAGCACCAGACAAGAGCCTGGTAGCCCCGTTGAGTGGTTAGACCCAGAAGAGCAATAATAATCACTGAAGTCCAGCTCTCAGGAAGCCCCATTCTCAGGGGAAGGGGGAGAACACCACATCAAGTGATCACCTCATGGGACAAAAGAATCTGCAGAGCAGGCCTTGAGTTCCAGATCCTTCTGCTGGTGGGAAGTTTCTTACATCAGAGACACAGCTGCAGTGCTGGGCACAATAGGGAAAGTTTAGGTCAGCAAGATCAACAATATCACAAATATCGAGATGAAGAGAATTGAAAGAACTTCTCCCAGATTTGGCTTCCTGGCTTTCCCTTGTTCTCTCCCCCAGATCCCCTACTGACTACTTGTTGCCCTTCCCCACAGAACCCAGAACATGAAGTTCAAAGGGATAATGGAATTCATGGGGAAGAAACTAGATGAAGAGACTGTCAAAAGAATTGCTCAGCACACATCATTTGAAAGGATGAGGAAAAACCAGATGACCAACTATGTAATGATAACCTGTGACATCATGGACCACTCCATCTCCCCACTTATGACGAAAGCCGCCTGCCAATCATCATGAATTTCTTTGAGAACAATATTATTACATAACTAGTATTTTGGGAAAGAATATTAACACACCTGTTTCCTTTTGTATTTTATTTTATTTTTTTAAAGACAGGATCTCACTCTGTCACCCAGGCTGGAGTGCAGTGGTGCAATCACAGCTCACTGCAACCTTAAACTCTTGTGCTCAAGCAATCCTCCCACCTCCAGCCTCCCAAGTAGCTGAGACCACAGGTACACACCACCATGCCCAGCTAATGTTTTTTATTTTTTGTATAGACAGGGTCTCACTATGTTGCCCAGGCTGGTCTTGAACTTCTGGGCTCAAGCAATTCTCCCACCCTGGCCTCCAAAGTGCTGGGATTACAGGCATGAGCCACCATGACTGGCCTTATTACCTTTTTAATTGACATGATGCTGCCAATAATTCTGAGGTTTTCTCAAAATATTAATGTCTTTGAAAGAAAATAGATTGTGATGTGTGCCTGTAATAAGAATTCACACTTTTTAATTATCTCTAAAGTTTCACTTTATGGAAAAAACATTCAGAATAGACTTCCTATCCAATCTCTCAAGCACAATTGCATTGCTTTTCAGGGACCATTGGAGAGTGGAAGCATTACTTGTCAGTGGCACAGAATGAGAGATTTGATGAAGACTAAGGAGGAAAATGGCTGACTCTTCTCTGACCTTCCACACGGAGCTCTAAAGAGAGACAAAGTCTATACTACACAGGGGCAATTTTATATCCTGTCTTCCAGTTTTTATTCCCCCTTATCACTGCTTTTCCCTAGAAATGACTTCCTGAGCTGGCTCAAATTGTTCAGGCAAGAACTATAAATTACCTTTTCCTCTCTGCATGCACCTGGAAAATAAAATCATTTTGTTAGCTAAGGAGCTGGGCTCAACATTCTTCACAAACTGACTGAATAGCTGTAACAGAAACCGTGGAACCTTTTTCAAAAGTCTGGTGGTTAAGTGTCCAAACCAAAGTTTCGAGGTCCTCAGGTCAGCTGGCCACGTTCTTCCACCCGTCACCTGGCCCTGTCCTTCCCAGGAGGAGCATCTTCTCTGATGAACGATTGGCAGGAGAACCCCCCCCGACAGCTTTACTAAAGTTCTCTGAGAACTAAACCAGTCTAAGACTTTGCCTACCCAGCCTTCCTTCCTTCCCTCTTTCCTGCCCTTCTCCAGAGGGGTTACTACTACACCAGACTCTGAAAGCCCTGCTCATTTATCCCTCACAAGAATTGTCCCCCAATAAATCTCTTACTCTTACTCTATCTCAGTGATAGGCCAAGTATCTTCCTGTCACTGAAAAGGGAGCAATATTCTCCCTTTTTTAGAGTGGCCATTATATTTATGATTTACTGTGAAATTCAGATGTGCAAGTACTAGGTTAAGTCATTTGAAATTGGTATCAAAAAAGAAAGCAAACATTTAGGTATCACAGAGGCAGCAACTTCAGAAAGATGAGAATTACTGAAACAGGATCTTGGCGGAGGAGCGTGTGGAGAAAACCCCCACTCCTGGGCAAGGAGTGCAACTTGGCCAGGGCTCTGTTCCTGAGGACACTGTGAAGACACTTGCTCTGAAGTGATCTGCACACTGGACTCTGCTGCTGCTACAGGAAGTGAATTATCTCGGGAGTATCGCTCGCTGGAGCAAGAAGGCAGCGAACAGACCAAGTCCCTTCTCCTCCTCCCGTCTCTCAGTCTCTATGTGAACAGAGACTCAGAGAAGAGGTGCCAGCTGGCCCAGTGGAAACACGGATGGCAGAGTCCCAGCCCAGCATCTCAAAGAAAACCCGAGACACGTGACTAGGACATGAGAGGCAATAACTTTATAAGCAGGCCAGACCTTTTTAAGCTCAAAATGGCCATTTCAAATAGTTCAAGCTAATTTGTGTGTCTTTGTGTGTGTAAATATAAATGTATATATGTAAATAGACGTGTGTGTGTGTGTATATATATATATTCTCATGTAAAAAAAAAAAAAAAAAAAAAAACCCAGATGGACATTTACACTACAATACTAATGAAGCAAAAAAAAAAAAAAAACCCAGGCCAGGCACAGTGGCTCACGCCTGTAATCCCAGCACTTTGGGAAGCCGAGGTGGGAGGATCACCTGAGGATGGGAGTTCGAGACCAGCCTGACCAACATGGAGAAACCTCGTCTCTACTAAAAATGCAAACTTAGCTGGGCATGGCAGCACATGCCTGTAATCCCAGCTACCCAGGAAGCTGAGGAGAATCGCTTGAACCCGGGAGGTGGAGGTTGCAGTGAACCGAGATCATGCCATTGCACTCCAGCCTGGGCAAAAAGAGTGAAACTCCATCGCAAAAAATAAAAATAAATAAAAAAAATCTAAACTTACCTAAAAGAAATAAATCAATAGACTTACTATTGTTGGCAAACACTCCCTCTCCTACCTTCTGTTGGGGACTCCAGGTGGCAGGTGACTTCTCTGAAGTCTCAGATCCCTGCAAGGGCTCTCCGGAAGAGCGATAGTGCCTGAAGCTGAGGCTGTGAAATGACTGAGAGTGGGATGCCACAGTGGCTGTTGTGAGCTTGGAAGAATCCTCTCCATCTGACCAACTGAGGCAATGTTTCTCTGATGGCCTTTATAATGGTTTGTTTGAAATGTGTGGTTAATGACAATGTCCAGCATGCCAGATGACACATTCTAGAAAGTAAATGAACAGTATGAGCTCTAAAATCCCTCCAACGTGACTGAGGGAAGCACTCGTCCTTGGGTTGAGTCCATCTAAATGCTGAGAGAAATCCTGGCAGAGGTGGTCCCTAGAAAAGCCTGCCTCTCCAACACAGTGACAGGGGCCCATTTGTTCAGTGGCCCATTGTTCAGCGGCCACTCACTTCAAACTGAGTGGAACTTATAGCCCCGATAAGGCAGACACCTGGCTGAGCCAGAAGCTAAGTGACGTAAATAAAGGGCTGCCAGTCCTCCCACACTACCAGGGAACCAGAATCTCAGAATTAAAAAAAGCACTTAGAGATCATTCAGACAGGTGGTCAGGTAGCTCTTTTGATGTCATTAACTGAAGTGTCACTGTCTGTGTATGGGGAAACTGGAAGTTTCTACTACAGTTAAATACACCAATGATCCAGCAATTCAAATCATAGTCATACACCCAAGAGAACAAGAGAGAATGCATCTGGCCCCCACCCCAAGGAAACAAAGTGTGAAAATCTCACAGAAGCTCTATTCATAATTACCAAAAACTGGTATCAACATGTATGTCCATCAAAAGAAGAATGGATTTAAAAATTCTGGTATATTCATTCAGTGATATAGTATATGGCAATAGAAATAAATGAACTACTGATACTTGCTGCTGATACTTGATGAATTTCAAAGACATTATGTTGAAAGACCAAAGCCAGACACAAAGGAGGACATAATGTATGATTCCATTAATATGAGGTTTAAGAACAGGCAAAACTAAACTATGGTGACAAAAGTCAGAACATCCTCTGCCTTAAGTGTGGGGCACTGGTGCAGCATTGACTGGGAAACAGCATGAGGGAATTGCCCGAAGCAATGGGAATGTCCTGTATCTCAATCTGGATGGTGGTTATGTGGGTGCATATAGAAGTATAAATTCATCAAGACATAAACTTACACTTCGTGCATTTGTCTGTATGTAAACTGTGCCTCAATATAAAAAAACTTGTTGCAATAATGGTCCTCAAATATTGCAGTCGAACCTCTCACAGAACAGAAACAGACCTGAGATTTAGGTAACTCTCTAAGTCAGTCTTGGAAGTTGGGATGGAATTCCCAGCTGGACTGTCCCAGCTGGCAACATGTGCACCTAACATGGGCACCTAGCATGTGATATGTCAATAGAAGCATGAGTCTGCTCAGGTCTGGGGAAGGTGTTTCTTCAAATCTCCATAGATAACCAAACCCAGAAGAGAGAATCACTTTCCTTTCTGTAGGGAGAGTAACTCCAGGTGAAGAGAAGGAAGAAGGAAGGGAATTCCTGGAGACTTGCTCCAGGCATTCCTTCAATATTTCCTCTCAATTCCCCATCTCCATGGGCATCCACAGGACCAGGAAGTGACCTCCTGGACTTGGGCAGGCCCCTGGACTGGTGCCCCATTGCTGTTCTTCCTCCTGGCAGTACGGAGGTGCAACCCTGCCAGAATCTCACCAGTAGAAAGAGCAAGGCCTATTCTGGCACAATGCTGAAGATTTTGTTCCAGTTCTACCCAGGAGCCATGCAAATTGTCTCTTTGTTTGCCTGAGCATATTTACCTGTAATGAATGACCAGAGCTCTGTGCCTAAAACACTGAATACATAAAGCCCGTCTGAATCTCGACTTTCATTTACTTTTTACTTTCCCCTGCTGGTGCCCAAGACCATGGCGGAAGGAATGGCTAAGGATAAGGTGGAGGAGACAAGTGAGTTAGAATGGGGCTTGTTACCCCCAGAAGAATTTTCCCAAGTGAACGGAATCATTCTTCAAAAGAAAACATGTGATTTCTGGGATAAGATCTGGAACTTCCAAGCCAAGCCTGATGACCTGCTCATTGCTTCTTACCCCAAAGCAGGTAGGTACATGGACATGAGAGGAGGGAAATAGAATTTGGAGCATGTATCAGCACCTTATGGGGTCATGTAGTAAAGTCAAAGAGCAGAGGAAGGAAGTGTCCTTGTCTGTAAATCAGACAGAATGGCAAATAATCTAAGATTTTTCTATAAAACCATAGGGATTTTTTTAGAGATAGAGTAGTTGGTTTATCAAAAATACATAACTAGTCAAAGCCGATTTTTCAGGTTAAAAATATCCATGTTATTCATTTTTTTCTTTCGTTCAACAATCACGTATCAAGAATCTTCTAAATGCCAGAGACTGGCACCGAACATAGTGATGGGTAAAATGTTCATTATCTTTGCCTTGCAGGGATTTACAGTACAGTCGAGAGAAGAACATTAAATCATTAAACAAATCATTTCACAGATCTGTGATTACCTGTGATAAGACCTGAGAAAGAAATGTAGAGGGTGTAATGAGAGAACATTGGGGGTCCTAATTTAGATTAAGGAAGTAGTACTCTGAAATTCTGAGCTACTGTGATTATTACAAAGGGAATGTATTATCGGTTTGCTATGGCTATGAAACAAAGTACCACTAGCTCAGTGGCTTAAACAATGATATTTATTGTCTCACAGTTTGGGAGGCCAGAAGTGCAAAATCAAGATACCTGAAGGCTTGGTTTCTTTCGAGGGCTGTAAGGAAAGGCACTGTTCCAGGCCTCTCTCTTTGGGAGGTATATGGCATCTTCGCATTCACATTGCACTCTCCATGTGTGCACATCTACCTCCAAATTCTGCCTTTTTGTATAGACATTAGTCATACTGGGTTAGAGCCATCCTAATAACATCATTTCTATTTGATTACCTCTGTAAAGATTCTATCACCATAAGGTCACTTTCTGTGGTACTGTGGGTTAGAACTTCAACATATTAATTTGGGGAGCACAAAAGTTAGCCCGTAACAGGGAGCATGGAGAGGAAGTTTTTGCATATGCAGACAGGAGCAGTAGGACTTACTGATAGATGATAAATGGGGGGTGAGGGAAAGAGAGCAGACAAGATTTGGGGCTAGAATGATGAGGTGGATGCCAGTGCCAAGCACTGAGTCAGGAAAGTCCAGAGAGGAACAGTACTGAGAGGGGCCAGGGCATCTATTAGGCAGTTGAATGGATTGAAGGGGGTCAAAAATGGACTGGGGAACACAGTATGTGTGTGTTGCCATTTCCAGATGAGAAAGAAAGTAGCTTGGACTAAGGGGGCAAGAGTGCAAATGGAGAGTGAGAAAAAAAATTGAGATGTATTTTTCAGGTAAAATTACTTGAGATCCGAGAGGAAGGGATGACTCCTGGGTGACTCTCTTCTGGCTTTATCAACTGAGTGGCCCCTTGGGCTGGGATGGGAAAGCCTGGGGGAGGGAGAGGCATGGAGCCTGTGCAGGAGGTGGGCAGGTTAAACTACAGCTCAGTTTGGGACATGTTAAGTTTGAGATGACCTTTAGACCACTAAGTGTTGATGTCAGGGGGGCTGTCAGATATAGAGCACAGAGGGAAGCCCACTCTGGCTGGAGATACAACTGGAGTTGCTGTAGATAGTGAAATCTCAGGTTAAATGCCCTAAGGCAGAGCCTGAGGCAAGGATTCAGGTACACATGATTTATTGGAAGGGTGCTCTTTAGGGGGAAAAAAAAAAACAGTCAGGGTATGTACAGGATAGGGAAGGGGAAAGGGCCAAGCAAAGATGTGGCATTGGGTAAAGCCTTGCCCTATGTGGTTAGGGCAGGAGGGGAAGGAGTGGAAGGATGGACACTTTCTCCATTAGGAGCCCCGCTTCAGAAGAGGACACTTCTCTAGCAAAGCAGGGAGTTGGGAGACATGAGCGTCCAACGCTCACAGCAGTGGAGGAGATAGGGGGTGCAAGAGGCTGGTACAGAAGATCTGATGAAGTCACCAAAAGTGTCTACTAAAGGTGATGTTTAAAGCAGTGGGAATGAATGGAATCACATGGGAAGAAAGCATAGAGGAAAAAGAGGGCACAGGACCAAACCCCAAGAAGCTTCCTCACTTAGATGTTGGACAGAGAAGAAGCCAGAAATGAGTGGTGTCCTGGCAGCCAGTGGAGTGAATCTTCGAGCCAGAAAGATCTGAACTGAGTGCCTGTTTTGATCGAATTAATCACGTGGCTGTCAGATGGGCACTGCACTTGGTGCCTGTAAACAGCCCCAGCCACAGCCTGGAATGACTACTGGGTTTTCTTTCCTCAAGTTGTCAGTTCTATCAACACGGATTCTACTTGAATCTCCTGGTGGCAAGATTATCCCCTGAAAACTTGAACTGCCCTTTTCACAAAGCAAGTCAAGTTATCCAGGGTCACACTCTTAGTAACTTCCCTCTAGAATAACATTTATCAATGTGGAACAAGAAATACTGTGCTACAAGTGGGAAATAATTATGAAAAGAGAACTTCATTTGAGTGAGAAGTTCATCTCCCTGGGACTCATGAGAACTGAGCATTTTCCCAGCTCAAATCTGGAAAATGAGAAAGAACATTTTTTTCTGAGACTAGCTACAGGGCATGACAGATACTTGAGACATGCAGGAGACAGCTGACCTGTTGCTGTAGTGACTTCATCATTTATCCTCCAAACTAAGTCATCTGAGATAGAAAGAGACACTGTTGATAATTAATCTGGGACAACAGAATCAACCTGTATAGACCTGGGCAAGTTGGAAGGTCACGGTAACCCTATAAATCACAAGCCATCCCAGATGCTAGGTTCCAGGTCCCATCTACTACTTACCTAAGTCAGCGTGTCCTGACCTGAAATCATGATCCTCACTCCCAAACCAGCCCCTTTTCTTCCCAGGAAGCAGATACCGAGTTGAAGATAAGTATGTGAGATGTTTATTAGGGAGTGCTCCTGGGATCACTTCCCCTGGAAGTGAAGGGAAGAAAGTAGGATTATCTAGAGGGAGAAGCTGAGCTTCAACTCAGTCCCAGCAAAAAGCCTCATATGGGATGATCTGAAGCTGGGATGGCCCTGCAAAGTTGGTTCCATCCCAGTTGAAGAGAGGGGAACAGAGTGTCAGTCAGTCCCTGGATGGAAGATGTCCCAGGAAGGGACCTGGAGAGGGCTGAATAGCTGGGGGCCATCTGCCAGCAGCATCCCCAGCAGCTGGTGGAATAAACAATTCCATTCAGAAGCAAAATCTGGGCTGTGTATCCGGCACCTTTTACAATCTCCAAGAATAGCTGTAGAGCACAGCCCTTGCCACAGCTTGCCTGAGCTATGCCATGGCTTGCTGAGTAGCCATTCAGGTCAACATGTGTGCCTGGAATTGCCACCTTGTAGGTGGAGTCCATGGAAAAGCAAACATCAGCATGTGCTGGAAACCAGGCCATAGTGGTGACTGAGAAGCATAATCTAGTGGAACTCAGCTCCCCAGGGGAAGAGGGGGACAGTTACTGGTGAGTACGAGTCATGATGCAAGGTGCCCTGTCTGCGGGCTGAGTTGGGAGCAAGTCTGGAATATGAGGCAAAGAGGTCTGACAGAAGCCCTTGCATAGTGTGGACCAACCAAACAGGAATAGGGTCAGGGGCCATTGAGGGAGCCCAGGTTTCCTGAGATGCTCACAGCATCTACGACAGCAAAGTCAAGTACAAAGGTGGAGTCTGGAGGTAGAGGCACCCATGACTTCCTCTGAGAGGCTGCTGGCAAGCAAGGCCCAAATTCCATGCTCAGAGTTGAGGGGAAAAAGCAGAGGTAGCCTATGTGGAGAAGGACTCTGGAACTGTCAAAGTAGCCTGGATTCGGAATTAGGACAGCACATCATCAGGAGACAACAAGGTTTGAAGACGAAGCCAGTGCTGACCCCAGAAGAGCAGAAAGAGAAATTGGTTTTAGTGCAGAGTAGGAACTGACCAGGAGCTGAGCAGCTGGCACAAGGGCACAGTCTAGAGGAGGAGCCAGAGCCATGGCACTGCACCCAGGTACCTCCATCAGAGTACTAGGGAAGGAGACCAGGATCACAGAAAACTGGCACGGGGGAGCCACAAGGAGAATGGCACCTTCTTCCCTAGGGCTTCCCCAAGCACGGTGGTCCCATCTATTCTAGCTCTGGCCCTCAGGATGTACACCAACACCATCGAAACATGAAGACACTTACTACTTCTTTAGTGCCTGTGACAAGCTGGATTCTGCCTATTTTCTCTTCCAACTCGCGAAACCACACGAGAATCATTAATGTGCATCAGGTTTACGTAATTCATCCGAAACCACCCGACTCATACATCATATATAGGAGTCAAGTCCATTTGATTCCACAGCCCCACACACATCAAATCCATGCTTCCCCCAGAAAAGCAGGACCAGGTCAGCCAAGGGTCCCAGAAGCCAAACAAGGATGCACTTTCTGAGGACAGACACTGCAGAGGCCAGGGCCCAGTCCAAGGAAGCCCAGAATCAGGAAGGAGATCACAGACAAGATCGTGAAGAAAAACAAATTTTACCCTCAAATGCAGCAAAGGTCATTTTTTCATTTATAAGGAGTTCACCTTTCTTGTAGAAGCCACTGCTTAACTTTTCTTTTTTTTTTTTTTTTTGAAAGAGGAATTCATTCAATCTCATTTTTTCAGTTTGTGAATTATTTGAAATTCTTACTTTTCCTTCCTTTTCATAGTATCGACATTGTGTCAGCTCATTGGTTCTAAAAAAAAATTAAAATTTTTTAAAAAAAGTAATCAAAGGAAGAGAAACTAGACTACTTATTAGCAGTCAGAGCTTTTAATAGTAAAAGTTAGAGTTTGGGAATTTCTGTGATTTTCTTCAAATGCAAATATTTTAAATAATCCCTGTTGTTAAATACAATAGTTATTTGTATTATCATTTTATAGAAATACCAATGCATATTCAGATTTTTTTAAGTACATCATTGGAGTACGAAAATAAAGAAGTCACATTTCTGCCCTTAACCTTTCCGGTGAGAAAAAGAAAATCTTAATAGTTGGTTTTAAATCAATGTCATAGGCAACATAAATGAGGTATTAACAGGCAAATTAATTTTTTATAGCATGTTTCTAAATTCTAAGTTGCAGAAAATCAATAATCAGTTCCTCAGATCTCTATTCTACTTTATTTCAGGAACCACTTGGACACAGGAAATTGTAGACCTGATACAAAATGATGGAGATATTGAGAAAAGCAGGCGCGCTTCCATTCAACTTCGACACCCTTTCCTGGAATGGATACGAATGACACACTGTGGTAAGTCTTCTGTTTACAAACTCACAGTCCTCGTATAAAGATGAACAATGCAAGAGTAAACAGTCTGAAAGTCGAACATATTCTGGTGGGGGAAAACTCCCATTAATCCCTAATTCTAAGTACTGGATGAAAAATAACTTTTCTTGTGCACGTGCAAATCTAGATAGATCCTTTCACCTAACGTATTTCGCTTCAACACTTAACAATAGAGAGGTATAATCTCTCTATTAAACAAAGTGTTCAACCAGTTACAAGTGCCAAGCGTTAGCTACACAGTTCTCACCCAACAGAGTCCCTGCTTGCTCATGTGGCACCCGTGTGTCAGTGCCAAAGATGTCTGGCACCAAGAACCACAGATTCAAATTTGGGATGCACCATGCACTTCCCATGAAAAAATAATAAATGTCATAGTCATAGCTAAGACTTTCATAGTACACATCAGGTGCCAAGCATTATTCTTTTTATATATATATATACTTTAAGTTCTGGGGTACATGTGCAGAACGTGAAGGTTTGTTACATAGGTATACACGTGCCATGGTGATTTGCTGCACCCATCAACCTGTCATCTACATTAGGTATTTCTCCTAATGCTATCCCTCCCCTAGCCCCCCCACCCGCTGACAGTTCCCAGTGTGTGATGTTCCCCTCCCTGTGTCTATGTGTTCTCATTGTTCAACTCCCACTTATGAGAACATGCAGTGTTTTGTTTTCTGTTCTTGTGTTAGTTTGATGAGAATGATGGCTTCTAGCTTCATCCCTGTCCCTGCAAAGGACATAAACTCATCCTTTTTGTATTCCATGGTGTATATGTGCCACATTTCTTTATCCAGTCTATCATTGATGGGTATTTAAATGGCTGACATTATTCTAAAAACTTTTTGCATATTAACTCACTATTCTTCACAACTTGTGAGGTAGCTGCCAGGTTATATGTGAAGAAATTGAGATACAGAGGGATTATGATTGCTCAAGGTCCACAATTAATAGGTAGTAGACCCAAGATTTGGACCCAGGAATTCTGTTTCCTAAGTCCATGCTCTCAACCACTAAGCTATGCAGTGTGCGTGAATGTGTGTGTGTCTCCTATGTGGACTCCAGGTATAGGTATCTGAGGGATACAGTGGAATTAAATAGTCCATGTTGGACCAGCATTGGTACCTGGTCATCTTTAATTAGACTTTTTCTACAGAAATCTATTCTAGTTCCATCTGAACAACTGACTTGTGACCTCATCTTGGGAAATAAATGAACAAACTAATGGCCTAAAACCAAATCTTGCTCATTGTCTTCTCTCTCATTCCCTTTTTGTGGGAGGAGAGGTAGGGTGGGGGGAACTAGATGAACATGTGCCAGGTTTCCCAAACCGCTCATTTGGTGTCATACCAGTGTGCTTGAGAAAAATCACCAAAATGAGGGTTAAATATAATGGGGAACAGATTTTGAAAAGTGTTCTAGTCCATACTAAGTGATCTTGGTTTTACCCTAGAGGCCATCTGTGGATATATTTTTGAGAGTCCTCAAGACCTCTACAACAATTTCTTAATTATGATTTTATTTTCATGGTAATTAAAAAATATAAACTAAGCACATTCTAGGTCACCTGGATGATCACCATGTAACCAGAATTCCGCAATGTGGTCTCATTGTCCTCGTTTGCATTGGTGCCAACAATCCCATTGCCAAGTGGAACTGTGGTAATTTCTAAAGGCTAATGGGATGAGAAATGGAGAGGACACTTAACAGTGAATAATATACCAAATGAAGGCCAATGTAGCAAAGAATCAGAGGTACAAAAGGACATACAAAGTGCTAAGTACTAAAAAAAAAAATAGGGAGAAATGGTTTCTTATCATTTAGGAGTGAAGAAGGCATAACATGGCACAAAACCCAGAAGCCATTACGAAAAAACTGATAAGATCAATTACATAAAAATTAAAACTTTTTTTAAAATTAAAGAATAAACCAGGAAAATTTTTGCAGGGATTGACCAGGCTAACGCAATGCCTTCCCCAAGGACCCTGAAAACTCATCTTCCTGTACAACTACTGCCTCCATCCTTCTGGGAGGAAAACTGTAAGGTAAGCTTAAAGCAAAGTATTCAGAGACAAATTTTCCTCATGAGAACATAGGGAGCAGTTTATTGTGTCATAACCATTGCCCAGCCATCCCTACAGTGTGTCTGCCAGGAGCAGATTATAGAACCTACTATCATCTTCTATGTTCTTAATCTCTCATTGATAAGGATGTGCTTAGCATACACCTATATCAAGAAGAGGGAGAGGATAAACATATACTAGGCTCATTTCTTAGCATCTTAGCCCCTTAATAATGCTATAAGGTGGAGGTATCTGAGCACACTGTAGCTCAGAGGTGTTACATAACTTGTCCAATGACAAACACATGGAAGGTGGAAGAGATGGGCTGCAAATCCACCTCTTCATTACCCAATAGCCCATGCTCTTTCTGCTACTCTACACCACCTACTCTGTGCCTCCTATAACCACAGAAGTCTTCCAAAGCTTCTATGTAGTTGGCCTTCCACCAGTCTTAAGGTAATGAGTATTTAAATGATCAGAAAGTGGCACTGAAGGAATCTTAAAAACTACATGCGCTACTGTCCTCTCACTTTATCTCATTTGTAGCTAAACTGTCTCTTGCAAACATCCAAAAGTGCCTACAAGCTGCAAACCCTCATCATTCTGAGACCTGATGAAAGTCAAATTTTTGTAAACATCAAATTTATCTTCCATATTGAAGCCTACAGGGGTGCAGATGCATTTTCATGTATGTCTTAAATTGGTCACTAAGGAATTTTTTTAACTCTTTCAGAGCACCAAGAGACCATTTATTGCCTCCCTCTAGAGGGAGGGTCTATAAATGGGCCTTGGCACTAAGCCAAAGCAGTCCCCACCTTCCCTTTCCATGTGGCATTCTGTTCCCTCTGACAGCTTGTCAAGATCCACACCTTTACTGTCTCTGGTTCTCCAGAGCACATCCAGGGTCTTACTCACTCTACCTTACTGACCCTAGTAGATCTTCCTATGTAGATCTGGAGTCTGGGGGCAGGGGTGGCTGAATGACTGAAAGCAAATGGAAATATATTGTTAGCACAGATAGAGCCAGGCCTGGGCTAGGAGTGTCAGTAAAATAAGAATAACTATAACAGCAATCTAGCAAGTACCAAAAGCATGCTCAGGTACCTCCACCTTATCGCATTATTAAGAGGCTTAGAGGCTCAAAACTGAGCTTAGTAGATGTTGGTCCTCTCTTCTCAAAGTGGGTATATATTGATCCCACCCTTATCAATGAGAGATTAAGAACCAGGAAAGGTGTCATGGGAGCAGTAAGTGGGGAGTACAAAACTTCTTGACAAGGAGGGTCAACAAAAGTGACAGAGGAGTCAGGGCATGAGGAACAGACATAAATTTGTTAAGTGATAAGAGAGGGAAGGACATTCCATGTTACTGAAAGAGCAGAAGCCAAAACTTAAGAAAATAGGTCCAAGGCCAGAAAAGAGGCATGAGAGGTGGAAAGGAGCCAGAGACACCCTGTTGCACAGCCTTGCCTGCTAAGATGTTTGGACTTAACCTGTAGGCTACTTGGATCCCACTGAAGAATGTGAAGTGAACAAAGAAGTGACATGATCCCATTTACATTTTAGAAAGCTCCCCTGGGGGATGTGGTGGTGTGGAGGGGTGAACACAACTGGGGCAAGACTGAAAACAGGATATTAGTGAGGAGATGGTGGCAATAGTCCAGGAGAAGAATTTAAAAGGCTTGGGTTAAGGCAGAGGCAGTGAGAAAATGAATTCCAAATGTAACAACAGACAGAATTTACAAGATCTCTCAAGGACTGGCTATAGAAGACATGGAAAAAGAAGCATCTCATATCGTTTTGTCATTGTAACTGTTGATGGTGGTACCATTAATGGAAAGAGATCATAAAAGAGAAGCAGTTAGTTTGTGTGAAGATGGATTGAATTTCGAACCCATCGAGTCTAAAATGCATGCAGAACATTCAGGTAGGGATACAGATACATGAGTCTCTAGCTCAGGAGACAGACATGTACTAGAAACAAATTTGTGAGTCATAAACATATGAAATTTATCGCAATAGAAACAGATAACAAAAAAAAAAATAAATAAATATAGTGAAAATAAAAGTAGGCCCTAGGCAGAGCACTAAAGAAGGCCAACATTTAAAGATTTCAAACTTTTAGTGATCATAAACTCCATCGAGAATCTACAGAAAGTTGTGACTCCACTCCTGACAAAGTGCACATCTATAAAAAAATTTTGCATACACTTTTAGAGAGAGGGACAGACCTCTTGAAGGTCATCATTTTAAGACACTCTGATTTAAGAGCAAAATGGCAGAGCAGGACACACTAAAGAAGGACAACCAGAAACATTATAGGACAACCATGAAATCAGCACTACCACAGAAGAAGGGAAGGTAAGTGTGACTGGGAAAGAATGAGCAAAGGGAATCAGAGGGTGAGATTACACAGACCCTGACCACCAGGTTGAGAACTTTGAACTTAATCATAAGAACAATGTACAGAAATTGAGAAGTTATGCACAAGGAAGCAACATCATCTGATTTGCATTTTTATAAGATCATTCTGGCTGCTGGATGATGAGTGGAAGAGAACAAAGATGCATTCATGACCTTTAGGACATGGTTACCAGAACACATATGCTCTGCACACTGAATGCCCAATTTCTAACTTGTCCTATCGTTTATTTTGTTTCTTCTCATCACTTTAGATAATCTATGTGGCCAGAAATCCCAAGGATAATCTGGTGTCCTACTACCATTTTCAAAGGATGAACAAAGCACTCCCTAACCCAGGAAGCTGGGATGAGTACTTCGAAACATTCCTGGCAGGCAATGGTGAGCCAAGTGCATGAAACCAGCCTTCACCTATATCTGCAGAGGATAAGTTTTCCCCCATAAAATTCTCCTTCTTGGGAAACAAAATTCATCCACAGAAGGGACTCAGATTTTCTTGGAGGGAAGGACTAGAGGCCACATCCTGAGAGATGTGGCATAGCCCTGGCTGTAATCTGTGGTCAGTGGATTTGCTTCCAATTGCAATATATCCTCTGAAGGAAGTCAAACCAGTATTACAGGCAAGCCAGCTATAAGAGAAGGTCCCAACTCTAAGCCTATGTTAAATGTTTTAAATGCATTAACTTGTTTAATCTTTAGAACAACCTCATAAGCTTGGTAAGTATATTCATCATTTGTAGGTGATGAAACTGAGGCTCAGTGAGTTTGAGTAACTTGCCTATGATTACCCTGTTAGCGAGAGCAGTGGCTAGAATTTGAACATAGGCAGGTTTGGTTAAGCTCAAACCCTGTGTGCTTGGCAGTTGAAGTCTTGACTGGCTGGTAACCATGTCCAATTGCCTACATGTTCAACTGGAAAGAAAGAAAAGGTTTAGTGTGCATGCAAGTTTTCCAATCACAACCATCATTTGAATTGGTGGTGCAGTGGTGGCCCCTGACACTGCAGGCTCACAAACTGTCACGTGCAAAAATGTATGATCTTTCAGTATGCTTCCAGTGTCAAAACTGAGTCTTCACAAGTTTCTTGATGTTTTTCTAAGTCTCAAATGCTGCTATATCTTTTAATACATCAACTGTTCTCCTAAAGAAGCCTAAAGAGTACGAAAAGGTGATGAAATTATTGAAGTTGGATAATTGGTTCATGGAAATTCATTACACTATTTCCTCTACTCTTGCATATATTTGAATACTTCCATAATTAAAAGATTTCTCAAAAGTTTTCAAAAATGGTAATTTAAGGAAGCTTTACAAGGTTATACTTTTGGGGAAGTACAATATAAATGTAACATCAAACTGGTTTGCACCATGAAGTTGAATTGACAACTTTGCATGATTAAAACCTAAATATTTGCACCAAAGCACTTTTTATTATTCAAGTTCAAAATTTAAAACTGAAACACCTTTGCTAATTATTTATATAGTCCTATGGAGAAACAACTGCCTTGTCACCTATATTTTTTTCTCTAAAATAATTATAAATAAATGTAATAAAGTAGTCCTTTCCATTAGTAACAAACCACCAGTAATGCAGGAAAATATGATACCTTTGATTGCCATTTGACTTTCATAACCTTAAATGACAAAAATTATTATTATTATTATTATTATTATAGTCTTTTCCTTATGAGATATACTTTGAAAATGATCCATTGTACCCCAAGGTAGTTTCACTGTTGAATTTCTACAGTAAATTTCCTTGTAGGTGTTCTAACAATGATGTCAGAATGTCTTTGGACAAAGAGTGATCCCTAAGAAAGTGACCTCATTGACAAGTTGAGACATTGGGCTCGTGCAGGGCCAGGACTGGGCTGATGTAGACAACTGTTCCTAAATCAGAGAGCTGAGAGGATAGTTCCAACTCCTTGCCCTGCATCAGGCAAGTTGCACACCAGAGAAGAGAAGCACTGACGTCAAACACAGCCTTAGGGCTACTCCTCTACACACACACACACACACAGAGAGAGAAAGAGAGAGAGAGAGAGAGACAGAGAGAGACAGAGAGAGAGAAACTCCTGAAGAAGCATCTTCAGGGCCAATAGCATGGAACATGGGTAGAAGGAATCAAGAATAAGAAGTAGAACAGTAGCAGCTCCCCCTATTTATGAGGGGGAGTGCCAAGGTGAGGCATGTCACCCAGCTGGAGTAGCACAAGTGCTTTCTGCCAAAGTGCAGATAGACTGGCCCTATGTCTCGGTCATCTACCCATACAGCTTGCCCTGACCTAAGCAGGTTCCTGCAGCACAGGATTCTCAGTAATTAAACTGACACAGCCCTATACAGAATAGAATGCCTGGTCACCCTATGACTACATTGCATGCCAGAAGAGAGAAAGAGGTTGAATAGATACTCCCTCATGATTGGAAGCTATCACTGGGAGTGGGACTGAAGTGCTCTTAGACATCCTAGTATCAAAGAGACTTTTAGACACATCCTACCTAATCTTTACGCTGTGTGAATGAAACATAAGAAAGGCAAATTTTGGGAGAAAGGATAATATAATAGAAGAAAGGGGAAAATATTACTGAATTTTTTACTTAAATTTTCAAATGACTTTTGTTGAGTAGCTACTATGTGTCAGACACTTACTATTATACTGTGTCCTAGGCACTACCAGACTAATGCTTTTATACGTCTTAGCATTGGCCCATACTATTATTTCTCCCACCTTAAAATAAAATAACATTTAAAAACCACTCTGTCGACCCTACCTCCCCAACCCCAGTTACCTCCCCCATCTTTCCCTCCATTTACTGCAAACACCTTGTAGCACTGGCTTACACTATTATCCTCAGTTTCTTTCCCAACACCACCAAACCTGTTCTGCCAGGGTCACCATGACTTCCACATCACTAAACCCAATGATCAATACTCTGTCCTCATCTCATTTAATCCATCAACATCATCTAACGCAATTGGTCACACTCTCTCTTCCTTGAAATGATTTCTTATTGGCTCCCAGGACCCCAGCCTCCCCTGACATTCCTCCCACGTCTCTGTTCCTTCCCATCTCCTTTGCTGGTTTCTCTTTATCTCCCAGATGTCTACAGTTGGCTCCTTTCTCTCTTCTACCTACATCATTCCTTGCTCAATATCACTCACTTTGTGGTTTCAGATGTCACCTGTCTGCTGATGACTCCAAGATTTGCACTAGTCCTGGTCTTGGCTGTGGGCTCCAGGTGCATAGACCCAGCTGCCTTACCAACATTCCACCGGGACGTTTATGGGGCATCTTAGACTTCATGTGTCCAAATCTTAATTCCTGCCTCTCCTGCAGAACCTGCTTTTCCTTCAGTCTCTCCTTCTTGTTAATTGTGACTCGGTCCCTTAAATTACTCAGGCCTAAAATCTTGATCTTATCTTGAGCCTCTTTGTTTCTCATATACCCCATCCAGCCCCCGAAAGAAAAACCCCACGAGAAAATCTGTCAACGCTAAGTGTGATTAGATTGCACACTTCCGGAAGTGCGAGGATTGGTCAGATTCTGGACTTAGTTTGGGCCAAAGTATCATCAGATTTTCCCTGGATGAACGAAACAGCCTCTGCCCCCACTTTTGCCCTTGCCAACCTACACTCTACTCTCAACAGAGAAACCAGAGAGATTCTACTAAAAGGGAAGTCAGACCATGCAACTCCTCTATCGGAAGCCCACGACTGGCATCCCATCTCACTCAGAGTAAAGTCAGAGTACTTAGGGCATCGCACAGGCCCACAGGGCCAGGCCTCACACTTCTTGCATCTCTCCCTACTCTGCTGGCCTCACTCACTCTGTCCTGGTCCCCCAGGCACACCCAGAACCTCCTACCCAGTGCCTCCCCTGGCTGTACCCTCTGCCCAGCAGGGTTCCTCCTTTCCCTTTTTTCGGGGTTGTGCTCAATAATCCCTTCTTCTGACCAGCCTACCTAATAGTCAGCCTCCTATGTACTCTCAACGTTTTCCCTCTCCTTCCCTGGGTATTTGTTTTGTTATTTGGGTTATTTGTTTTGCTAAGCACACACTGTGTTCTAGCATTCCGCATATTTCACATCTATCTCTTTTGTCTCCCCCATAAAATGTACTTCCAAAAGCAGGGCTTTCTGCCTATCTTGTGTGCACTGCTCAGAATACATTTATACAAACATTACCTTACAAGACAGTTACTATTACTAACCTCCTTTCAGAAGATTGTTTTTAAAAAGCACAGACTCGGAGAGGTTAAGTAACTTGCCCAGGGTCATGCAGCTCTAAGGGTCAAATCTAAGATTCAAGCCTAAGAGGTTCTGGAGACTAACAGAGTAATCTTGCCAGTTTCCAAAAGGAAGAAAAGTTGTGCTGAAACAGAGACAGACAGAAACAAGTGTGATAAGTAAGTTCTCCTGATCACATATTCCATTTGTATCTTATGGAAACAGCTCAGTTTTTTTCCCTGGGTTTTTCTACTCTCAGCTTCCCATGGCCCACATATGTATGTGTCTTTCTTTCAGTGGTATGGGGGTCCTGGTTCGACCATGTGAAAGGCTGGTGGAAGAAGAAAGACAGCCACCCCATTCTTTATCTTTTCTATGAAGATATGATGAAAGTAAGAATAATATTTGAATTTTAATTTCACAGTATTTTGTCTCAGAGTTAGAGCTCCATGGTAGAAGAGAAGGCAAGTCATACTTGAAAGTTTGTCTATGCAAAATATTTTGCACGTCAACTCCAACTTCTCCAACCACCTTGCCATGTAGCATACAAAATTCCACACAAAATACCTTGTATATGGTTTCCATAGCAGGCAGCCTGCTTCCTCCTGCAGTCTCACTGCACTCTGGAGTCGATTCCTACCTCATCCAAAAACATAGAAGACGTGTCCTTTTTGAGCCAGTTTTCTTCCTCTCTAGGTCTCTAGATTCCTCCTTCCAAAATCTCTACCTCCCACCATAACTTGCTCTGACTTCTGAGGAAAAGAATTAAGAACCCTAACAGGAAAGAACTAGTGAGGAAGAATATAGCTGATTTGATTTGTATGCTTTCTTAAAATACTAAAATTTTGTCATTTGAAACAAAAGATCTTCATCAGCAACATCTTTTGCATGTGCAATTCCTGATTCAAATCTGTCTCATAAGTTTCTATGTAAAATAAAAAATTATGGCACAGTGTTCCTGACTGGTCTCCAAGCCTTGATTTAGGACTGGGTTCAATAACCAACTTGTGTCCTTCACTGACCATGGCTTCTATTTCCTCTTTCCCCTCTGGGTAGACAGAATCCTGGCTTCTTTCCTTCTATCTATTCAGGTAATGTCAAAGTTCCTCTTTCTGTTTGTCCTTGCTCTATACAGCTTTGTAAGTGCTAGCACAGCCCTCACCTCCCCCAGCCCTGTGTCTGTGCCAGGGAGCAAAGGAGCAGCACGGGCTGGGCAAGCTAGGCAAGAAGGACAGACATGAGACAGAACTGCTAGTGAGGAGAGAGGAGGCCTGCAAGGCGAGCCTGGAGATCTCCAAACCAGGTGACTCTCACACTAAACTGAACCCCTCTTCTTCACTTCTGGATGAGGTAGGAACTTATCTTAGAGAGTAAGGGGCTTTTGTGAGGTCTATCTGCCAAGAGGTCTTCCCAGGAGGCCCACAGTCAGAAATAAGCTCAGATGTAGAGTCAGGAGACATCAAAAGCAGCAACAGAGACAAAACGGCACCATGCTGCTTTTGTGCCATGCCAGAGCAGTGAGGATGCCATATATTTTTGTTTCTCCAATCAGAAGGAGGAAATACAGCTTGCTTATTTTGAAAGATACCCACCTCTTCTCCCAAGTATCTTCTTTTTTTATTTACTTATTACTATTATTATTTCAATAGTTTTGGGGAAACATGTGTGTTGTTACATGGATAAGTTCTCTGTGTGTGATTTCTGAGATTTTGGTGCACCCATCACCCAAGCAGGGTATACTGCACCCAATGTGTAATCTTCTATCCCTCACCTCCTCCCACACTTCTGCCCAAGTGCCCATAGTCCTTTATATCATTCTTATGCCTTTGCATCCTCATAGTTTAGCTCCCACTTATAAGTGAGAACACACCATGTTTGGTTTTTCATTCCTGAGTTACTTCTAATGGTCTCCAGGCCGGGTGCAGTGGCTCACGCCTGTAATCCCAGCACTTTCAGAGCCTGAGGCGGGCAGATCATGAAGACAAGAGATTGAGATCATCCTGGCTAGCACTGTGAAACCTTGTCTCTATGAAAAATACAAAAAATTAGCCAGGCGTGGTGGTGGGCGACTGTAGTCCCAGCTACTCAGGAAGTTGAGGCAGGAGAATGGTGTGAACCCCGGCAGGTGGAACTTGCAGCGAGCCAAAATTGCGCCACTGCATTCCAGCCTGGGCAACAGAGTGAGACTCTGTCTCAAAATATAAATAAATAAATAAAAAGGAATAATAGTCACCAACTGCATCCAGGTTGCTGTGAATACCATTACTTCATTTCTGTTTATAGCTGAGTAGTAGTCCATGATATATACATCACATTTATCCACTCATTGGTTGATAAGCATTTAGGCCTTTTCCATATTTTTGCAGTTGCAAATTGTGCTGTTATAAACATGCATGTGCAAGTGTCTTTTTCATATAATGACTTCATTTCCTCTGGGTAGATATCCAGTAGAGTTTTACTAGTTTGCTGGATCAAGTGGTAGCTCTACTTTTAGTTCTTTAAGGACTCCCCATACTGTCTTCCATAGTGGTGGTACTAATTTACATTCACACCAGCAGTGTAAAACTATTTCCTTTTTACCATATCCATGCCAACATCTATCATTTTTTAATTTTTTAATCATGGTCATTCTTGCAGGAATAAGGTGGTATCACATTGTAATTTTGATTTGCATTTTCCTAATAATTAGTGATGTGCATTTTCATATGTTGGTTGGCCATGTGTATATCTTATTTTGAGAATTGTCTATTCATGTCCTTAGACCACTTTTTGATGGGTTTGTTTCTTCTTGTTGATTTCTTTGAGTTCCTTGGCAATTCTGGATATTACTCCTGTATCAGATGCATAGTTTGTTAATATTTTCTCCCACGCTGTGGGTTGTCTGTTAACTCTGCTGATTATTTCTTTTGCTGTGCAGAAGCTTTTTAGTTTAATTAA